GCCACTCGTCTTCAGCTCCTGAGTATCATTTTTAGTCGACAAAAAGTTTGACGAGATCCTGAGAACGTGACGAGTGCACATCTGAAATCCGTTTTTCGAAATTCGACAACGTTCGGAAGGTATAAATAATGGCACAAATGATAATTAACAGCTGACAGTTTCCTTATATGGTCATACATGACTCAGTCTTAAAAGATCATTCATATCTCTGATCTCATGTGCATATATACTTTAATTATCGTCTTGCATAACTTAAATTCATCGATGAGAGAGTCTCAAACGTTTAAAAAGGTCTCTTCATGGTTTATGTAGATGAGACAATGAACGATAATGAACAGCTCTAAGAGCTTTCTTATATGGAAATCTACGATTCAGATTCATTATGATTTCCTCTACACGAGTCTAAGATTTATAAATAGTCGATGTCGTATAGGATCAGATTTCTATATTTTTCGAACTCGGCAGTCAGCCGACTTTTGTAGCCGGCCTTGGGCCGGATAGAGGTCTAGTCTTGATATTATAATATGAGTTGAATTGTATTCTATACACAGAGCAAACATTTAAAAATCTATCGTTATTTTAAGTGCACAGTACCTTGGACAGAAAAATTTTTACATATCTGCAGTCAGATTAATCAATTTAGCATGAAGCAAATGTCAAACATTGACTATGAAATTATTTATAACTTTGAAAAAACAAATTATAAAACATAAGAAAGGACTACAGAGTGAAAATTGATTTCAAAATAATTGCTTGTAGTCCAGGAGGCACATAGGCATCAATTTAAATTAAAGAAAAACAAAACAAGAATTGAATAGTTCGGTGAATACATTGCATTACAAGGACAACAACTAATAAGTAATAATTTACAATGAGTATTATAGAATGATGTTTACACATAGTGAGATCAAACATTTCACAATTAAAAGTAATCTTTCTTTTTTATAAAAACAAACCTTCATTGAGAAGAAGTGGTACCATTATAATAATTAATTACCAAGAGATCATCATAATATGAATAAACTCAATCAGTGTATACTCTCATTCAAAAAAATAAAATAAGAAAGCTGAATAAGCTATTTCACTTGGAAACTAATATAAAAAATTGTGTTTTCTGTCGAGTGGGATAATATATTCTATAATTTAATTTGAATTGAACCTAGAATCTTTTAAATGATATTATTAGATATTTCTTGACACTTAAAAAACTATTCATTAACTTAATTAAAAAAAAATTCTAAGAAACGCCAGAGAACACAAACAATAGATAAATAAATAAAATCATCTCTTAATGAGTATTTCGAACATTATTAATATTCACTGAGCATAAGAAAACCGAATATACCATATAGAATAAATCATACCGAAAAATATTATCTTGCTTTGGGAAAAAGATTGACAAAATACTTTAACGAAAGCTCGAACAAATGAATCTGTGATAAATTTTACTATGATCGAAAGAAGATGTGAAAAATTTGTTTAACATGAAAAACATCCATCAATGATCAGATACAAAGCTAAACAAAGCATATTTTGATCTGCAAAAACTAAACTAACACAAAGAAAATAGTTCTTCTATGATATTCAACAGATTAATTCTGAAAGTAATGATAAAAAAATTTCGTTGTATTACTGTATTTAAACAGAAAATTGATGTGACATATGGAATACACTTTAGATAGATCTTCTATCTTTTTATTTTTATTTTTTTTTATAAATAAAAAAATGTTGTCTTTGATTAAAGGATTGAATTCAATAAATCAATATCTGTTTGAATAGATTTCATAAGGTGGTGGTGCTGATGGCTGTTGTGATGCTGTTTGTATATCTTGAACTGGATATAAATATTGATGTGGATGAGGGGAATAGGTCATAGCAGATGGCTGATACGGTGGTGGACTTCCTAATTGTACAGCTGCGGATTGTTGATGATACACAACATCAGGTTGTCGAGTATTAGATCTTGCCTTACGACGTAATCGAATCACAACAATTGAATGTATAACAATGAATAAAATATTACAAATGAGCATTAAAATAGCACAAGCAAGAAGACCTTTGAGTGCTGGTAATTTTCGTAATGTCCTTGAAGTACATAATTGTGAAAAATAATTATAATCATCATCATCATCATCATCATCGTAAAAATGATTCCAATTAGGCACGAAACATAAAGCACCGTAACATAAACAAGGATCTTTAACAAAACGGGAAGTGAATATCATAAGTATGATGGTAAAGATCGAGTTAATTGTATTTTGAATAACCAGATAAATTCCACATCCTGATGACTTACCACAACATACTAATTATATACACAAATATTTATTACTTAGAAATCTATGTAATCATCTATTTAAGTAAGACTTACGATAACAAAACATAGATATCCAAGTGATGGAAAACACAACTGAACACCATAAACCAGCATAAACAGTACCTCGACCAGGATCATAATATATACTTAATATTTCGAGACTAACTATACCTATGCAGAGAATTAATTGTGCAGCACCGAAAATGCCGGGAACAACACCAGGCACACTGTTAGTTACTGGGCGGTATCGCGTTTGCAATGTCGGTATTGCTATTGGCTCTTGATGATATGATTGTCGATACATTTTATTTGATTGTTACTCTTTTTGTCAAGAATATTTAATCTAAATAAAAATAAATATCTTAAGAATATTAGATGTATTTAATTAATCTATTATAAAACTAAAAATCAACAATTACTTTCGTTTTCAATTCGCACTGAGATAAGTTTCGCAAACTATTAAGAGTAATACACGTTTTATGAAAAAAATATTTTCATAGTCTTATTCACGTTCTTATCTATAGGTAAAACAACAAACGCCTCTTCAGTTTTGCTCGTAAAACTTTTTTTTCTTCTTATACAATGTTTCTTTTTTCGACATGCAATTTCAAATTGTTTTTCATATTGAAGTTACACGGCAAAAACTATTTTTTTAGACTCAAAAACTCTTTCGTTTAGATGAATCTTCACTAAAAAAACAGTTTTAGGTCTTTTTATGCACCTGGAAAAAAGATTGAAACATTTTTTATGAAAAATAGTATAAAAACCAGGAACGAAAGTATTTACTTTGAAGGAATAAGATCAACAATCAGAATATAGTAAATTCTATTATTCAGTACTAGCATAAAGTACTGGCTGAAACCATACTTCAACCAAACAAGCTTGGATTTTTTCATGGTAAAGAGAAGCAAAAATCTCATGGGATCACAAAATCGCTCCATTCCATCCCATCGTCCCTAGCTAAACAAAATTTTGTCCTATGGGATGGAATGCGATGGGATTGTCACATCCCATCTCATCGTCCCTAGCTAAAAAAAATTTTTTCCCATGGGATCTGATGGGATGGGATTGTCCCATCCCATTCGGAGCTCTGGTATAAATGATGCTCTATTGTTTTGTGCTATTACGTTACTACTCAAGTGATATCATAATAATAACATTTCGATAATATTTATTTTTCCCTCATATGTAAGGATTATACCCATGCCTACTTAAAAGGTAGAGTGAATAGTTTTTAAATAATTTCTGATAGAAAAGAGATAGAGAACTGCAGTTTTCATCGTTTGAAAGAGAAGAAAAAGATGCATCGAATTACACATGTACGTTTCCTAATTTGTAGTTTAAAGTGTGTTTAAATCAATTGTCTGAGTGTGAAAAAAAGTTTTTTTTTTATCAAAAAAGGAAATAAAGAAAAATATTTTTTACACAAATGGCTAAAATAATCATTTAGAGCTTTGACTGGAAAGCCTGTGACTCCTGAATGATTAGTTTTAAACATCTGAAACTTGTGCAGTTTTTTAGATCTTCTATTGAAGATTCAGCGTAAACGCTTTACAGAGTAGACTTGTTTTCAAAGAGGTAGATTGAAAACTTTAAAAAAATCATGTCAAAAATATCGTATAATGTATGATTCAATGTATCTTTATTTGATCTTTCGAACGATGAAAGTCCCAGCTCTCTATCTTCTTTCTGTTAGAAGTTATTCAAAAAATATTCACTCTGCCTTTTAAATAGACATTGGTTACATTCTATCGATAAAATTTTTTTTTTATCCAACAAGTCAATATCTAGAACAGCAAACCTTGTTTTCATTTTCAAAAAATAAATGCAAACTAGTCTTTTTATCATAGACTAAACTTCATTGGAAAGTTTAACTTGTTGCTCAAGCATCTGAATAGAAAAACATCTATCGCGCTATTCTATGGAAACTGTTGCATGAGTATCTAAAGAAAAAATAAGGATTTAGTACAACAAACAAATGTCAACAATTATTCAAACACTATTTGAATACACCTTGTTAGTTATCTTTAAGTGTGAGATACGGATGTTGATGTACATATCAAACAGTGTTAGTAAATAGGCGCGTTCTGAATCTACAATAATAGTACTTTTGACGTTTTTTTATCTCTACTAAATTTCACATCATTCATTAGAAGAATAAGTACGCGTTGAGGACTTTATATATTGTTTATTTGATTGATATAAGAAAAAAATAGAATACATCATTGTATTCTAGAGATAGAATATGTTCATATTGATTTAAGTTTGCTGACTATTCTATATCGTCCAGTAACTTATTTGCGTCAATAGGAAATTATGATATTTTCCTAACATTTCACTGTAAATATATATAATATATTAAAAATTCTAAGCAGTAGGAAGACTAATGACATTGCTAACTTTCCATTTTAATAACGCCTATTTTTATTGTTAACCAAAGTAAGAAATACTTCTGCTTTGCTGTTTCTGTTCTTTTTTTTTCTGTTTTTTTTTCCTACATATAACTTATGTTTTAGCATATATATTGTCAACAATAAAAAACTTTCTTTGTGCTGTTGCTATCGCTACATTTTTATACTAGCGTTGTAATCGTCAGTTGCTTTTATATAAATAAAAATATTTCTTTTTTATTTTGTTGCAAGCCTCATTTTGTTAAATTTCACGAAAGACTAAGCAAAAAAAAATGAGCTCGGAATCAGCACCACCACCCTATAGTAACCTAAATTATATGATTCATTTACTATTTAGTGATTTTACTTTATTGAATAGCTTCTGAAAAACAAGTTAATTATCAACAAGCACCACCACCACCACCAATACCAATGGCACAACCGATATATGTCGGAGCTCCAATTGTTATTGTAGGTGACTATCCAATGCAATGCACATGTCCTCATTGTGGAAGACAGATTGTTACACGAACAGAAAAGAAGTCTGGACTTTTAGCTTGGATCATTTGTGCTGTTCTTTTCTTGTTTGGTTTATGGCTTTGTTGTTTTATACCATTTTGTGTTGATGGTTGTAAAGTCAGTATTATTTCTTTTTAAGATATTTGTCTATTTTATAAATTATATAGGACACAGAACATTATTGTCCAAGTTGTGGTGTAATGCTTGGTATGAACAAAAGATTATGACCATATCTGATAAATATTGGACTATAATACAATCTTAATTTCTATTTTTTTCTTCAAATATTTTATTCATATGCAATAAAGATCACATATAAATATTGAATCTTTTGATAAAACAGTTCAATTGTTTGCATATATTTCTTTAATTATTAGGCAAAAATAACTGAGCTGTAAGAAACTTAAACTTATTTTTTTTTCTGCTGTCGCGTCAATGATGTTCTGTTATGTCTTGTTGAGTTTGCTGATTCCTTTAGCCGACAGGAAAATAAAATGTAAGAGGGTAGTCAAAAAAAAAAAAAGAAAATAAATTCTGTCATTTTTGCCCTAGTCTAACAAGAAAGAATGACGTCAGAAAAAAAAGTGAATAGAATAGGAAAAAATAATAAACGAGGTTCGAGAGATTTTCTATTCAGAAAATCTTCATTATAGAGTCAAAGTAGCTAAAAAAAACACAAATGACGAGTGTTTATCCAACAGAAGTAAAATCAAATGCTCTTCCTACCTATGGTAATATAGTTACTTAATGAAAATATAGTTCTATATGAAAAATTATTTTTTTTAATTTTATAGAACAAGCAACTTACTCTTTGCAAGTTCCATCGATGCCAACTACATTTGGTATGTATTCAACATCCGCTACAGATTTTCCACCGCAACCACCACATATTGGTATGTATCCAACATCTGCTACAGATTTTCCATCGCAACCACCACATATTGGTATGTATCCAACATCTGTTATGGCTTTACCACCGCAAGCATCACCCATTCCTACTAATATGCTTATAGCAGCACAATCGCTGATGTTTGGTGATATACCTGTACAATGTACTTGTCCTCATTGTTATCAAGTCATTGTCACACGTGTAGAAAAAAAAGATGGTGTACTACCATGGTTAATTTGTGGTGGAATTCTTTTAATGGGTGGTTGGCTAGGTTGTTGTCTTATTCCATTTTGTATTGATAGTCTCAAAGTATGTTAATTAAGATTTGATAAAAACAAAATAATAAGAACAAAAGCTTCTTGTTTATTTTCTTTTTTTCTATAGGATATCGAACATTATTGTCCATATTGTGCAGCTTTACTTGGTTCACGACGAAGACTGTAGCTTATTTCATGACAATCTAATCAAAACCATCAGTAAATTTTACAACTATGCTTTCAATTTATATTATGTGAAATAACTAACCAAATATTTTTATTTTTGCTCCTTTAATAATCATTCGAAGACACATCTCATATATAAAACACATTGAAATTAAGAAAAAAAAAAACAGACGTAAAAAGAAAAAAGGAGAAAAAACTTATATTACATAGAGATATGATTACTTAATATTGCTCGTTTTTTAATATGTTCATTTTCAATAAATTTCATTTTTTCCGCAATTACACATAAATGTTGTTTAACAAGAATAAGATCATTTATTTGATTATGTACATAAATACATTTATTATCATAAATTAAAAGCCAATTGATTAAAATAGTTTCATCTTGTGTAGCTAAACGAGATTTTTTTTCATTGTCTAATGTTGAATCAAATAAACACCATCCATTAATACAAGGTTGATTATTTAAATATCCACTATTCGAAATATTTTTTATTAATAAATTTGAAAAATCTGATCGATAATATTCATGTAAAATTTTTAATGAAACTTTTTTTGAATTAAACAATTGTACGAAGAAAAACGAACGATGACATAAAAGTAAATGATAAAGAGAAATAAATTTATCATCAACATCTTTATAATAATATTTATATTTTTTTATATAACGTGTACCATATTCAACTATTTTCATATAATTATTTATTAAATTTTTTGGTTGAGAATTGAAATATGGCATTATAATATTTAATGTTGAACTAAATGGCTTACGAAGATCATTTAAATTAAGAAGAATATCAGATGATGTGGTAATATATGGATATATACAACGATCTAATTGAAGATAACCACCGATTGTGGAGAGATCAAACTTTAAGAAAAAGTATTTATTACAATACGAATAAACTTTTAATAAGAAAAAAAAAAAAAAACAAATCTATTCTACCTTCTGATCATCAAAACAAAGTTTGCGTTTGACAGTTTGAATTGAAGGAAAAAGTGTTGAACGAAGATAATTATATCTAAAAAATGTCATTAGATATTTTTTTTAATGAGACTATTAAATTATTTCTTTTACTTTGTGGTTGCTTCAGAATTAAGTATATCAATTTCATGTATTGATCCATGTGTAATATCTATTTTAAAACGAGCAAAGAGTTTTTGTTCATTATTTTCTTTGGATGAAGTTTTAATGGTTTTTAATAAATTAACTAATTGAAGAAATTGATCGATTATTGAACATAAAATAAGTTTCGATGACAATGAGAAATCTTTATTTGGATATAAAGTTTTGTATAATAGCCTTTCATTCATTGTCATTGGTAATAAGGGTAATTTTTTTGGTGAATTCCATGTTGAACAATGAGTGTCTAGTTCATGAACAACAAGTTCAAAAGCAATATATGGATAATAAATACCAGATTTAAGTCTATTTATATGAGATAAATACATAATTTAAAAGAAAAATAGCATGAACAAACCGATAGAGGACAGGAATTTGTTTATTATTAATTGTATAAAAATTATAATGATTTCGAATTGTTGGAAGATCAAACGGTGGTGAAGTCATTCTTGATTTTATCTGAAATGACTACTTATTGTTGTCTTTTTCTTATATAAAGATAAGTTGATTTAACACTTTCGATCTCTTATTTTTCTTTTCGAATTATATATAACAGAATAGAGAAGAATTACACATATATGAATGAAGAAGAAAGAATTTCAATTTCTTGTTTTTTTTTTATTCTAAAAATCACAAAAACAACTGAAATAAACTCGTTTTCAATGGAAAACAAAAATTAAAATCAGAACTGTTGGCAAAAACTTTTCAAGACATACAAAAAGCGACCTCTTTGGAAATGTTTCTTAATTCGATATATGAATAGAACCAATCCATACATTTATTTAATATTCATCACTTATTGTAAAAATAACATTTCCTAGAAGTTTATAGAACAGTAATAGTTAAGATTAGCAATTTTCAGTGTGTCTAGGCATTTAAATTTATCTTCTATGGCAAGTAAAAAACTATGTGCTAATATAGTTTTTTCGATTATTCGTCGACATGTTACTACAACACAACAAACAACAGCTACAGCTAGAGCAACAGCTCGATCATTTCTTATTCGTTTTATAGAAGATCGTCGTAGAAAAAGTCAACAAGATGATATTCGACTTGAACCATACGTGTCAAAAGGTGTTTATACAGAGTCTGGTGCAATACGACCAGTAAGTTGATAAAAAGAAGAAAAAAAAGCATTGTTTCTTCTTTTTCTTTTTGATTTTATTATCTATTTGTTTGTATTTAGATGCCTAAACGATATCCTCTTGGTATAATAAAAGTTCTATGTATTGCAATTCCATTTCTTTATCTTGGTTCACTTGTAAGCAAATATGGAGCATTAGGTCTTGAAAAAATGGATTTATTTGTATACAGTGATGATGATGACGATGATTAATAAACAAAAGAACAAAAAAAGAAAAGTTCAAATTAAAGCAGAGAATTTAATTGACAGCATATATTTTTTTTTGTTTGTCCTTTTGATAAGTCAAGTTTCTATGTATGTTTTTGTGTTAATTCATTTATCTCATTGATTAAGATATAAGAATATATTGCACTTTGATGTTTATTATATTAGTATTAATATAGATATTTTCTAGGTTTAGATAGGTTTTGTTTTTTTTTGTATGTGACAATCAATTCTAGTATTTATATGTCGTTATTAATGATTGATAAAAAAAAGATTTAAGCTATTTACACAATCTTTGTCTTCATTCGTTTAATAAGTTTCTATTTATTATTAATATAAATAATATTTCTTTTAAAGTTGTCTGAAATTTATTTCTAAACACTCTATCATATTTTTTATCGTAGATTTGATATTAGAAAAAATAACACATGGAATAAATATTAGAAGTTGAGAATTAATTTTCTGTCATATGTGATTATATGTAGTGATGTGAGTTCAAACCATTATTTTATGGATAAATAAAGTCTTTATAATTATCATTTGAATAGAAAAAAATGAATATTTTTATGAAGATAAATATAATATAAAAAGAAACTTTTCAAAACTGATCCTTCTGTTTTCTTCAGTTTCAGATAAAGTCTATTATGGAACTTGTTACATACAAACAATTCTATTCGTAACTAAACTTTTTACAGAGCTTGTAGGAATTTGAAAATATTCAGTTGGAATTAAAATTTTATGTCCTTTCTGAATATAGATTCGAAATTTTTGTAGAATATTTGGTTACGGAGTTATAAGCCGTCCTTTTAGAGATTCGTTAGTTAAATTTAAACAGAGAAAAGGGACATTCATTGCTGTTATAAGCTACTTTACTGCATCCACTCTATTAGCAATTCTACGCTGCAAAATTATATAAGAATCAAGGAAGCCTACGTCTGTCTTTCAACTATCTTGGAACATGAGATATTACCTAGTGGCGCATTCTGTAGCTCTGGATAGAAGGGTATACGTGATACATAGAATTCTTGAGTTTCATACTTGAGCTCTTCATACACACTAACTAATTTCATAGTAACAACAAGAGCAGATGTATGTCATTAAGTAGTCAGCATGCAACTGAACGGATGATACGAGACAAACAGTTGTTAGTAACTTGTTTAGGATCATTCCATGGCTCTTAATACCAATATTTCAACATTGCAGTCATTCAACCATGGAGGATATAAGGATCCAGAGTTTGAGAAAAATCATTCAAGAATGATTGAACTCGCTTTGCAAGTCTGTTTACGATAGCAATCGAGAAGATTGCCTAAATTAGCATGGTGTCGCTTACCAGAACACTTGTTGTTAATAAAGGACTTAGAAACCATTTTATTCCAAAACTAACAGTTTAGAAAATGTAATGATTCTTAACCTCGAAGGATTTTTCCTTGTTTTTGTAGATATGATAATCACAATATTATGGCGTCTTCCAACCGATAAGCAAAGACTTCGTCTCTTACTTGTCGGGATTACGAAACGATATATAACAAATGTATCCCAAGCACCAGCGGATTATTTTATTCGACAATGTTATTCGTAAATATATAATTAAAATTTTTGAATAAAATTCAACGTAATTTGTTTAAAAGAATTTTGGAAGTCGATCCATCATGTCGTGATGAAACAATAATTCGTAAAGCATATTTAGAAAAAGTAAAGCAATATCATCCAGATTCATCACTTCAAAATAATAATGGTGATCATACAAAATTTAATCAAATACGACAAGCTTATGAAGCACTTATAGTTAATGAAAAAGAATCGATTTTCTTTGCTTTCATAGAAAAATAAGCTATAAATTTTTTTCTTTAATAAAAGGAAACATTAAAATCAAATGGTTCTCTTGATCAGTCACCAATATCATCTACAGATGATGATCATATTAAATTTGATATTCGTCATACAGCTCCTCAGCATCGAACACATTTAGAATATGGAGGTTTCGGGTTAGTTGCCTGTGGGTTTTTATTAATCACTTTTTTTCTCGTTTTGTTTTTTTTAATTTTGATTATTTTTCTTTAGCATGGGAACGCCAAGTCAAAGACAAACTGCATATTACAAAATGCGTGCTCAAAAAGCATACGAAACTGTCTACGAATATCGACGAGATCGAGAATCAGTTGAAACAAGAGAAGAATTAGTTGAAAGAAAGAAAAGAAAAGATGTTAGAGCCACGTAAATTTTTATTTTTAATTATATTTGAACAATATAATAAACAATTTTTTTGTTTTTTTTATAGAAATTTTATTGATCGTCTTGTTGAAGATCTTATTCAAGAATCAATGTCACGTGGTGATTTTAATAATATTAAACCAAGTGGAAAACCATTACATGAACGTAATCCACATTATATGGATTTTACGACATATAAAATTAATGAAATTCTTATTGATAATGGTTAAATAAAAATCATTATGAATTAGAATAGTTTTTATTTTTCTTTTCAATATTTTAGGTTATATGCCTGAATGGATTCAAATTGAAAAAC